ATATATCTGGTAGATCTTTTTTTTTTTTTTGGGTTACTTTATTATATGCTTTTTCTTACCATTGCTGAATTCAAACATCGAATCTTGAGACTTTAGATGTAATTATACCTTAGTGTTGACTGTTGTAGTTCCATTCCTTAGACACATACATCAATTTTTAGATAAATGAATTGTTAGTTGGGTGTAAGTAAATGTATTGAGATATATGAATAGTGTGTGTATATATATTCAAATTTAATTTTTGTTTTTTGTAGGTGTCACTTGGGTATCATACCCAAGAAAATTGAAGCAATTAGAAAGAAAAGAGAACAATATTCTTTTATGGTATTTAATATGCTTTTATGGTATTTAGTGTTTCAGGAGAGCATCTCGGGATAGTTTTGCGAGATTTAGAGGGAATTTTAGTGAGAATCTTAGTGATGGTTTATTAATGCTTCCAATAGTTTCAATCTTATCTTCCACATAGCGCTCAACGCAATTCTGATGGGAAAGAAAAGAGAACAATATACTCTTTCCTGTATTTAGTCTCATATGAGAACAAATTTCTTCTATGGATAGTTTTGAAGATTTAGATTGAATTTCAGCAAAGGTTTATCAATGCTCCCAACAGTTTCAATCTTATCTTTCATGCATTGTTCACAAATTGTTCAATACAGTTTTGATCTTAACTTCCACCTTGGTAAAACATAGAATTAAAGGGAACATAGAATAAAAGGAATTAAAAGGAATTCAAGGTCTCGTAGGGTAACATTCTCGTTTATCGTTTTTAATTTTTTTAAGAAATCCAAGTATTTTTCAACTAACTTTGTTTTTTATTTCTCTTTTTAGAACATTCTCATGATGCGAAAAGAATATAAATATAAATGTATGGTTGGTCATATATAGCATTATGTTTAAAATTAAAATTGAAATTAAAATAGTATAAATTACAAACTTGTATATATAATTACTTTGATGACATTTATCATTTTTATAAATACAGAGTATAATTTTTGTATTTATTTTTACTTATCTCTACTATAGAGCGATTTTTGAAAAACATTTTTAGATCAAAATATCTAAATTACATAAATGTCATTTTTTAATAATCCACAATCGAATACAATTAAAATTATTAATTAATTATTTTATAACAATATTATTTCACAACAATTTGTTAGAACCGTTTCATTTATCAGAATCATAATAATGAAATTACTTGTTCATGTATTTCTTGTCAATGTATTTATGTCATCATGATTATGAAATCACTTGCCAATGTTTTTAGTTAAAAAGTTTGTTACAAAAAGGTAGAAATTATTATTATGTTACATTTGATTACTAAAATGTAACAGAAAACCATTTAAAGTTGTTAATGAAATTCAAATTCTCCAATCCTTCGAAAACTGATTCTGAGTTCATAATGGAAATGAGGAGAGGAAGAGAGGAAGGTTAGTAAAGGATTAAACGTACCAGTGTATGTGTGAGGATACACCAATAAGAGGGGGATGAAAGGCATGGAGGTGTACAATGACTGGACTATCTTCTATAAGATGGCAAAATCCTTCTTTCCTTTCATATGTAAGCTGTTTCCTTCCCCAAAGAGTTGTCATTAAATTTCCCAAATATTGATGGGAAAGAAAAATATGACAATTGTGCTCAAATCCTCCCTGGTGTATTTAATTTGTAATTATTTTATGTTTTAATCCCTTTTCTTCTCGTTTTGACTTCCCCAAATTAAGTTTGGCACTCTCTGTTTTGTTTTTATTTTCCATTTAGTGTAAGAAGTATTTATCTAGCATGGGCATATTGGTTAGATTCAATAAGAAGTAGAGATGGCAATTTATGTCAAATTGATCTCCATCCTTTAAAATTATAGTATGCGGCAAAAGATCAAACAATGCAACTTGTTTCTTAACAATGACGTTAGAAATGGTGAAAATGAGAAAATGAGAAAGTAGATTTTCGAGAAAGTAAGAATAATTAAGATTTTGCACACATGTAACATTAAATTTACAAAAATATTTTGTTTAATATATCATTGAATGTAGTAGTTCTTTATTTATTTTTAATCTGTATCTTTTTTTCTTTTTTTTTTTAGAATATTTAAGTAGTATATTTTCTTAATTCTTTAGTTTAAAAAAATATATATATATATATATACCCACCCCATGTTAGATAAATACTCCTTCATAGGGAAATAAAATCAATGAATTTGTCCTAAAACTAAATTAAATTCTCTTTTCACGATATATAAATTATGTTAAATAGTAAGTCAATAAATTAAGTAAAATATTCAAAAATTAAATTTACTTCTACTCATAAATTTAATCATATTAGAATATTTATCATGAATTTCACAAAAGTATCATTTAGGGCAAAAATCACAACATATAGTTTTTCTTTCTTTTATGTATCCCAATAACTAATGCAAATAATGAAAGATATCATTGAAATTGACCAAAAACATGGTACTATATAAGCAAGTTTTGACTTTGTAAATCCATTTATTTAATTGACATTATTCAGCATAATTATTAATTAGTAGTATATTTTCTATAAAATGTGACTCATTATTTTTATTATCAAATTATTCTCTATCAAATGTTTTTTAGTACATCAACCATTTGATGAGATGGAAATTCTAGCTTCTAACCCAGAAGAACTGTTGTATGTCAATTTTAAATAAAAGAACCGTTGTCAAATATCATTAATAAATAAATAACAATCTTTATTTTTTATTTATATTGCATCAATTTAAAATTATGTCTTTACAAAATAAATTATATGCAAAGTAAATAACAAATTTATTATATATATTAAAATTAGTGAGATTCGAAAAAACGAAATAATAATATGAATATTAAAAAAAGTATTATATAAAATAAAAACAGTTGACCAACTAAAAATGTACTACAATTACTATATAAATAAAATAAAGTACATAATTATATTTAATAACATTTCACCCAAATTAATTTGAAAACTGAGTTATTTCCATTAAAAAAAACCTGCATGGTAAGTGTTATGGAGAAC